AAAAGGGTGAGTGGTGCACTTAGGAGTCTGTGGAGACAAAGAACTCTGTGGGAGCAAAGAGGGGAATGTATGAGAGTATAGTTGTAATAACACTCTTGTATGGGTGTGAAGCACGGGTGATGAATGTTGCAACGAGGAAAAGGCTGGAGGCAATGGAAATGTCATGTCTGAGGGCAATGTGTGGTGTGAATATAATACAGAGAATTCGTAGTCTGGAAATTAGGAGAAGGTGTGGGATTACCAAAATTATTATCCAGAGGGCTGAGGAGGGGTTGCTGAGGTGGTTCAGACATGAAGAGAGAATGGAACAAAACATAATGACTTCAAGAGTGTATAAATCTGTAGTGGAGGGAAGGCGGGGTAGGGGTCAGCCTAGGAAGGGTTGGAGGGAGGGGGGTAAAGGGGTTTTGTGTGCGAGGGGCTTGGACTTCCAGCAAGTGTGCGTGAGCATATTTGATAGGAGTGAATGGAGACAAATGGTTTTTAATACTTGATGTGCTGTTGGAGTGTGAGCAAAGCAACATTTATGAAGGGATTCAGGAAAACCGGCAGGCTGGACTTGAGTCCTGGAGATGGGAAGTACAGTGCCTGCACTCTGAAGGAGGGGTGTTAATGTTGCAGTTTAAAAACTGTAGTGTAAAGCACCCCTCTGGCAAGACAGTGATGGAGTGAATGATGAAAGTTTTTCTTTTTTGGGCCACCCTGCCTTGGTGGGAAATGACCGATGTATTAATATGTTAATAAATTAAAACCAGCTACTCTGGTAAATTAAAGTTGTGTGGAAACTATATGAATAGGCTTGCTGGGTACACAGAATATAATTGTACATAAATTATTAGTATTATCAGAAAGGACATTCTTATTAACATTTACCATTTAATTACTGGATCATAATTATTTTATGGAAACACACCCTAATGCTACCTCTACAGCTAGGATTTATGAGGGCCAATGCAAAAACTACTGTCCATTATGGGTAAGTGTTACTTAGCTAAGGTGTGTTGTTGGGAATGATTCAATGAAGTCCTCTATTTTTCTGTCGAATTGTAAGGGTTTTCCACACTATCCCAATTTTTCAGCAGGAACGTGTCAGCAATTTCTAAATTACAGATTGAGGCCAATATACACCAACTGACCTTCGAGAGTGCCTGATTACATTGCACAATTCAGTCCAGTGTTCACACATTAAATTCACATTGGTTGCCCATGGCTAACCAGCACCATTCTGAAATCCATTGACAAGAAACACCAATATGAAAAGCAATGTAGACAGGGCTTAATGCACAAAGATATTCTTAAACACTATTCATCAGTTCTCACCAAAGTAATAAAGAAAGCCAAACAACTATACTACTCCAGTAGATTCACAGACACTAGAGGAAATATAAAAAAGACCTGGAAAACACTCTCTCAGATTCTAGGGACCCACAAACTGAAAAAAACCAAGAATATTGTCCTAACTAAACCTAATGAAACACCACTACATCCCACTGACACAGCTAACAAGATACACGACTTCTTCTCAACCATAGGATCTAATCTCGCCAATAAAATCCCACATACTAATGCCCATGCCGGGGACTACCTAGATGGGAATTTCCCAAATTCCTTCTGTCTTGCACCAACTGAGCCCTCGGAAGTCACCGAGATTATAAAGTCACTTAAAAACAACTCGGGGAATCTGTCTAATGTCCCACCATTACTGTACAAGCGAGCAGCCCATATCCTTTCGCATGCTATTTCATTACTTTTTAACAAGTCACTAGAAACTAGCACCTTCCCGAAACTGCTCAAGATGGCAAGGGTTACACCAATACATAAAGGTGGTGACCCTACAGACTTAAACAACTATAGGCCAATATCAAACTTACCATTGCTATCCAAAATCTTTGAGAAACTCGTGCACAGGAGACTATATTCATTTTATAACAGCACAAAACATACTCAACCCTGCCAATTTGGATTTAGGAAAAATAAAAGCACTAATGATGCAATCATAAAAATGCTAGATCTGCTTTACACAGCATTGGAAAATAAGGAATATCCACTAGGAATTTTTATTGACTTAAGAAAAGCTTTTGACACAGTAGACCACGACATCCTACTCCACAAACTTGACCATTACGGTATAAGAGGCCATGCGCTTGCTTATTTCAAATCTTACCTTACTAATAGGTATCAGTATGTTACCATTAAAGACACAGCATCAACAACACGGCCACTTGATACTGGAGTTCCGCAGGGAAGTGTCCTTGGTCCCCTGCTCTTCCTCATATACATCAATGATCTTCCAAACGTATCCCAATACCTGAAACCCATTCTCTTTGCTGACGACACGGCTTATGTCATCTCTCACCCTAATCTTGCCACCCTCAACACCATTGTTAACGAGGAGCTGATCAAAATATCGACTTGGATGACAGCCAATAAACTTACGCTTAACACTGACAAAACCTACTATATTATGTTTGGTAGCAGAGCAGGAGATGCACAAATTAACATTAAGATCGACAACACTCTAATTACCAGACATAATGAGGGCAAATTCCTAGGCCTATACCTTGACAACAACCTGAATTTCAGCACCCATGTCCAACACATAACCAAAAAAGTATCCAAAACAGTTGGGATCCTCTCCAAGATACGATACTACGTGCCGCAAAATGCCCTTCTCACACTATACCACTCACTTATTTATCCATACCTCACCTATGCTATTTGTGCTTGGGATCAACTGCAGCAACACACCTAAAGCCAATAATAACCCAACAAAAAGCTGCAGTAAGAATAATCACTAAATCCCATCCCTGGCAACACACCCCCCCACTCTTCATAGATCTAAACTTACTCCCTGTTCAGAACATCCACACTTACTACTGTGCAATCTACATCTACAGGACCTTAAACTCCAATATCAACCTTGACCTAAAACGCTTTCTTGATAGTTGTGACAGAACCCACAGGCATAACACCAGACACAAACATCTCTATGACATTCCCCGTGTCCGACTAAACCTTTACAAAAATTCAATGTATGTCAAAGGCCCTAAAATCTGGAACACCCTACCTGAGAACTCTAGAACTGCAGACACATTCATCACCTTCAAAACTACCATTAGAAAACATATTATCTCCCTGATAAACCCCATCAACTAACTACACGAATACCACCTGGTGGTTCACACTTACACTCACTCACCCATTTGACCATAAACAGAAATATTAATCTCAATCTTAAAATAATGAATCCTATGATACTCCAATACTGAAACTATATACTGTGCCAAAACAAAAACATTCACATTGCTAAACTCACAAACTAGTATTTAGTCACTTAGCCATAATACCAACTTACCTCATAATTTGTAATATTTTAAAATAAAGAATTAAACTAAGTCTGCCGGAAATGCCTAGCCATGCTAGGTGTTCTAGTGGTACACTCTGTAATCATTATTTAACTATATGTAAACCACACAACAACCAAATTCTGTAAATTCAACATTGTAATCTTTATAGAGAATAAACTTTGAATTTGAATTTGAATTTGAATATGGAGTCCCTCCACGGCGTCACTCTGTAGCTGTTCTACACCCCCCCCCTCACTCGAAATCTCTCGAAAAGGTCAAATCAGCATCACATTTTATTATACAATTATTATATTATTCATATGTTCTGCATTTAGCAAATTAAGTAAAAAATCCACAATAATAATAATAATAATAATAATAATAATAATAATAATAATAATAACAATAATAATAATAATAATAATAATAATATAATAATAACAATAATAATAATAATAATAATAATAATAATAATAATAATAATAATAAACAATAATATAATAATAATAATAATAATAATAATAATAATTTAAAAATAACAATAATAATAACAATAATAATAATAATAATAATAATAATAATAATAATAATAATAATAATAATAATACAATTAATAATATAATAATAATAATAATAATAATAATAACAATAATTATAATAATAATAATAATAATAATAATAATATATAATAATAATAACAATAATAATAATATAATAATAACAATAATAATAATAATAATAATAATAATAATAATAATAACAATAATAATAATAATAATAATTAATAATAATAATAATATTAATAATAATAATAATAATAATATAATAACAATAATAATAATAATAATAATAATAATATATTTATGGGAAACCCTACACCACGTAGCTAGATTGCTAGCGCACTCGGCTTACACACTGGAGTCCGGGGATAGATCCGCGGTATGGGTGGAAACATTAAGTCTGGTTTCCTTAGGACACCTGCTGTTTATGTTCACTTATCAGTGAAATAATGTACCCTGAGTGTTAGTCGACTGGTGTGGGTAGCATCCTGATACAAAATTGTCTTAATTTGTCGGAAATGCTCTACATAACCAGCGGCTTTATTATATATTAGTATGTCAGTGATGTCAGGTAGGACTGTATACCTTGTACATGTACTGGTAGTAAATAAAGATTATTATTATTATTGTTATTATTATTATTATTATTATTATTATTATTATTATATAACTCTTGAAGAATAGGAAGTAATCAAGTTTAATCCCAGGAAGGGGAAGATAGCTCCATTTTCTTGAATCAAGAGCCCTTCCCGTGTGGAAGGTGTAAACTTTCTAAAGTTATTATTAATTAACGTTGTAAAACAATAATGTCTGACATACATTAAAATAATTCCTTTTTAACTTTAGCGAGACAAATTTACATACATATTTGTGGTGTTATAATTATATTTTTTAGTTATACGAAGGATACTGCATTCGAATACTGACTCCAGTTTAAGATTATTTAATACTCTGATATTTCTGTGAAGACATTATTTTTTAATATATTTATTTTCAGTTCTTCCCAGAGTATTTAAATGAATCGAGACCCAATGAAAGTGAAGTAAAAATAAAAAAATAATGATATATTAGGTGTTTAAGAGTTGATGAAGGTTTGGGATGTGGTTGAGTACTTACATTCTTGTGTTAAGGTGTGGCATATTACTGAAGTCTGCCACTACCTCCCACACACCTCTCGGATCCTCACCAGGGATGAATAATTCGTACTCCTGTAATTGCTTTCCCTTTTTGACGAAGAGGAATATCACTAAGAGACAACCTAAGAGTAAGGGCAGCTTGCGACGTATTCTAAATCCGGCCATGACGGAGTTGACTTAGAGATTCTTATGAGGGAAGTGGCTGCCTGGTAGTCTTCTTGCCGTATACTACAATATAAACATTATCTAACACCACAAATAAAACTGAAGTGAAAACTCTGCAAATATATAACTTACAATTCCATAATAGATTAAACGGGAAATACTTAACGCGGAAATAAGTCACTGTTTGTGTTAAACTAGATTAAATTTACATATGGTAGTGTTGTGTGTCACAGCATTTCTGTTTCAACATCATTGTAAAAAATTTGCATATTATGTATGCAAATCCCTCAAGGAAGGTTCCTTGATGTTGGTGAGGGGCTCTTGATTTAGGGAATTGGATCTGTGCTCCAGTTCCCCGAATTAAGCCTGAATGCCTTCCACATCCCCCCCCCCCAGGCGCTGTATAATCCTCCGGGTTTAGCGCTTCCCCCTTGATAATAATAATAATAATAATATGTATGCAAAATCTAAATAAAAACAAGATAATAAGTGTCACAGGTGACAACACGGGGGGTGACAACACGGGGGGGGTGACAACAGGGGGGGTGACAACACGAGGGGGTGGACAACACGGGGGGTGACAACACGGGGGGGTGTACAACACGGGGGGGCCCTCAAGGAAGGTTCCTTGATGTTGGTGAGGGGCTCTTGATTTAGGGAATTGATCTGTGCTCCAGTTCCCCGAATTAAGCCTGAATGGCCTTCCACATCCCCCCCCCCCAGGCGCTGTATAATCTTCCGGGTTTAGCGCTTCCCCCTTGAATTATAATAATAACCGGGGGGGTGACAACACCGGGGGGTGACAACACGGGGGGTGACAACACGGGGGTGACAACACGGGGGGTGACAACACGGGGGGTGACAACACGGGGGGTGACAACACGGGGGGTGGACAACACGGGGGGGTGACAACACGGGGGGGTGACAACACCGGGGGGTGACAACACGGGGGGTGACAACACGGGGGGTGACAACACGGGGGGGTGACAACACGGGGGGTGACAACACGGGGGGGGTGACAACACGGGGGGGGCACAACACGGGGTGACAACACGGGGGGGTGACAACACGGGGGGGTGACAACACGGGGGGGGTGACAACACGGGGGGGTGACAACAAGTCTACAATTTCTTAGATATAGATACGTGCGCAAGTATCAAGCAGATCCAGCAGTCACTTAGGAAAGAACTGGTGTCTTCCGTGGTAGTGATGTGTGTGGAAACTTAATTAGGAGGTGGAGTGAGTGTAATGTATAATATAATAGTGAGGTAGCCGGTGCTGTGTTGAGTGTATGTACACCAGCAGGCCTACCAGGCCTACTTTACTGCTCTTCTAGCACCATCACTTGTGGTGCCGCCCTCATCCTCACCAGGGCTGGGTAATCTAATAAGGAGGAAGACTGTGAAGTGAGAGAGTGAGAGAGAGAGAGTGAGAGAGTGAGTGTGTGTGTGTGGTAGCAGCGGCTCCCGCACCTCAGTCTCTCACTGGCACCACCCTGTGGCACTCGACTCCAGTGGCACCACCCTGTGGCACTCGACTCCAGTGGTAGCTGAGAGTGGCACCAACATGGCTAACACTTCCAGTACTCGTATGCTGCTGGTCACAGCAAATATCGCGTCCTGCTTTGAACAGGTAGGAAGACAACACTGTGCATGCTATCTTATATATCTTCCTACCTTCACCTACTGACAAATAGGTACCACCACCACCTGTCTAGTACCTGAGACCATAAGTATACTTATGTTAATTAAACTTCCCCACTCTGTGTGGAGAATATTAAAAATATTTACTACTATCTAGGAGTTAACATAATGAACATAGAAACATAATACTTATGTTTTGACGTTCTTGAACACATTAACTTATGTCTGTGTTCACCTACTGATAAGTTAACTTATGTTCACCTACTGATAAGTTAACTTATGTCTGTGTTCACCTACAGATAAGTTAACTTATGTTCACCTACTGATAAGTTAACTTATGTCTGTGTTCACCTACAGATAAGTTAACTTATGTTTACCTAGTGATAAGTTAACTTATGTTCACCTAGTGATAAGTTAACTTATGTTCACCTAGTGATAAGTTAACTTATGTTCACCTAGTGATAAGTTAACTTATGTCTGTGTTCACCTACAGATAAGTTAACTTATGTTCACCTACTGATAAGTTAACTTATGTCTGTGTTCACCTACAGATAAGTTAACTTATGTTTACCTAGTGATAAGTTAACTTATGTTCACCTAGTGATAAGTTAACTTATGTTCACCTAGTGATAAGTTAACTTATGTTCACTAGTATAAGTAACTTATGTTTACCTAGTGAAAGTTAACTTATGTTCACCTAGTGATAAGTTAACTTATGTTCACCTAGTGATAAGTTAACTTATGTTCACCTAGTGATAAGTTAACTTATGTTCACCTAGTGATAAGTTAACTTATTTTCACCTAGTGATAAGTTAACTTATGTTCACCTAGTGATAAGTTAGCTCACTCTTGTGAATTGCATCTTAAATGATAAATAATAAACTTGATATTTCTAGAAAGTAAGGTCACTGAGGTACAGATACTCGAGTACAATTATAATAAATAGTTTAACATATGTATAAATTGCATAGGATAATCAAAATAGGTCAGAGTGACTTATTTCCATTGGTATAATTTATAATTGATTCAACAAAATTTAATATTATTAGCATACTTTATATTAAGTCCCTGGTTATGCAGAGCATTTTGTTAACATAAACTTTAATTACTGGTAACCAGTACTGGACTTCAGGATTTTGGTGATGATAAACCAGTGATTGACTTTCTAGGGCTGTCCTGGGTTATTACCCCCTCTTAGTTTATTCTAAAAAGATTTATTTTGTGTGTGTAAATGAACAGCTTTAAGCTGTCAGATGGTTGTAAATATTCTGTCAGACTTGAAACCTTCATTAGAACTGAATTCTTCCTGTGTGTCATAAGAGGAGACTAAAATGCCGGGATCAAGGGGCTAGTAATCCGTTCTCCTGTATATGTTACTAAATTTAAAAAGAAAAATGGAAGTTTTTCTTTTTTAAAAGAAAAACTTTTGTTTTTCTTTTTAGGACATCCTGCCCCGGTGGCACGTGGCCGGTTTGTTGAAAAAAAAATTGTACGTATACAATATTAACTTTTTTTTTATTTATTATTTGTTTATTATTGTACACCTACTGGAACTTTTATCAAATAGTACTTGATAAGGCCCAGTGGGTGAAATATAATAAATGAAAGGTTTTGGTTAATATGTACTTTATTCCCAGGACAGAACCCCGTCAACTTTACACACACACTACTATAAATCATTATCCATAAAATGGGAAGCACTCGTTTGTTGTGGAAATTATTTGTTGAGATATTAACCATAATAAAATTATAATAGTTTTTTGTAACTCATTGGCCATCTTCCAAGATAGTGACCCAAAGAAGAACAAACTTTTACCAGCATTCATTCAGTCACTGTCTTTCCAGAAGTGGGCTGATATAACATTCAACTTAACTTCCAACTGCAACATCCCCACCCCTCTAGAGTGCAGGTACTGACTGCCATTCCAATATTATTTATTTAATTATTTATTTATTTATTAATTTGAACATGACAGTGAAGTCAAGTTTTTGCGTGCAGCATGCAAAGCCCCTTGTATGCAGAGCATTATGAGCAGGCTTAAAATTAACTTAAGATTAACTAAGCAATGATATATTCAGTGGTAAAAACATTATTGTAAACACATAACAATTTAGCACAAATGAGTATTACAAAGACAGGTCATATGGTCATTTACTGTGTTGCTGAGCATTCAGAGTATGAGTATTTGTTGGTAATGTAATTAAAAAATAAAGTTTGATTGGGTAACAGGTTAGACATTTATGAGATACAATAATAATGATGAATAATGGTAACTAGTGAGCGGTTGTTAAGTGGCTTCATTAATGGCGCAGTCTCACTGATGCAATATCACAGGTTTTTGCCCTTGACAGTAACATGAAAATCATTGTGTTAATCGAAAATTGTATATATAAAATTAAAATTGGGTTATGTAAACACTATGCAAATTGGTATCTTTATTTTGAAACGTTTCGCCTACACAGTAGGCTTCTTCAGTCGAGTACGAAAGTGATAGAAGCAGAAGATACTTGGAGCGAGTAATATCATCACCCTTAAATTTTTGAGTGGTCGTCCCAGTCTGGAGAAGAGCATTTTTCCTTTGGTCGAAACAATATGTTTCAGACAACGAAGCTTCTTCTCAACGAGGGACTGACACCTCAAAATTTTAAAGGGGATGGACGTTACATCGTCCCCAAAGATCTTCGCTTTATAAACTTTTCTGTACCGCTGGAAGCAACTTGTAGGCAAAGTTTCAAAATAAGATACTAACTGTTGCATATTGTTACCAACTCTGTCGGTATTACCATTTTAATGTTCATTAAATTGGGTTACGTTTTTTTTATTCATTTCCATGTCTATAAACTACCATAAATGTATATTCATAGCAGTTTCACATGATATAGCTTACAAAATCATACTGAAAGGTTTCTTTACTGACATACATTTGCATTCATAATTTTTTTTATTAACATAAACAACTGCTTCTTGGTGGATATCGGTGATTAATTATAGTTTGAATAGTATAAGATTAAGTTGCTTTTACAATAAAATTATTATTTTGTGCAAGGGTAAACAGTATAATCTAACCTAATGAAAATTACAATACCCACCCAAAAATAACCAAATGTTGCTTAGCCTTACTCTACCATTGGTATACATGGGTCTGTTTATATTCGATCAGGCACATGACTTGTAACACCTGTTGGGCATTATAATTTGCACCATACTGCCTAGGCCTGGTACTGCCCTCTAGTTCAATTCAATTCAAACTTTATTCTCTATAAGTATTACAATGCTGAGTTTACAGAATTTGGTTATTGTGTGGTTTACATGTAGTAAAATAATAATTACAGAGTGTACCACTAGAACGCCTAGCATGGCTAGGCATTTCGGGCAGACTTATATTAAATCTTAGGTTTAAAATGTTACAAAATTATGAGATAAGTTGGTATTATGGCTAAGTGACTAAATACTAGTTGTGAGTTTAGCAATGTGAATGCTTTTGTTTTGGCACTATATGTAGTTTCAGTATTGGAGTATCACAGGCCAAGATTCATTAAGATTCATTATTTTGAGATTGAGATTGATATTTCTGTTTATGGTCAAATGGGTGAGTGAGTGTAAGTGTGAACCACCAGCAGGTGGTATTCGTATTATTAGTTGACAGGGTGTATCAGGGAGATAAGATGTTTTCTGATGGTAGTTTTGAAGGTGATGAATGTGTCTGCAGTTTTGGAATTTTCAGGTAGGGTGTTCCAGATTTTAGGGCCTTTGACATACATTGAATTTTTGTAAAGGTTTAGTCGGACACGGGGAATGTCATAGAGATGTTTGTGTCTGGTGTTGTGCCTGTGGGTTCTGTCACAACTATCAAGAAAGCGTTTTAGGTCAAGGTTAATATTGGAATTTAAGGTCCTGTAGATGTAGATTGCAAATAGTGGGCCTAGTTCTCCTAGAGCTGGGTGTATGAGATGCTGTTTTGTTCTTGCTACCTCCACAGACCCAGCAGCACGAAGACGTTCCCCACTTCTCTTGATAGGCCTTGACAGGTGTGGGCTAGAACCAGTACACTTCCTCTACCACATACCCCAGTAAACCTGAGCCTCGCCTCTGGAGATGATTATTATCCAACCAGATATTTATCTCAATATAGACATGACTTTTGTCCTTTGACTTTTCATCATGTAGAAATCGCCAATGCATAATGCACACCCAGGCTGCAAATTTTGTGCCTGCATAATTCCATGAGTTTTCCATAAAATTCCAGAGTTTTTGGTGTCATTACATCTTGGAAAAGATTTTCTATCTTGTTGAAGAATTTTTTTTTTTTTTTTTTAAATGTGGACACTGAGCACTTTCAGTTTTGACAATCTGGACAGTGATTACCTGGAGTTTACCTGGAGAGAGCTCCGGGGGTCAACGCCCCCATGGCCCGGTCTGTGACCAGGCCTCATGGTGGATCAGAGCCTGATCAACCAGGCTGTTACTGCTGGCTGCATGCAATCCAACGTACGAGCCACAGCCCGGCTGGTTAGGTACCGACTAGGTGCTTGTCCAGTGCCTGCTTTAAGACAGCTTTGATTTGCTGCACAAAATAAAAATTTGCGTAAGAAATCCTTATTCAGTGACGTACATAGATTGCATACATTGTAAAATATAAACTAATGCCAGACTGAGTTCTGCCAAATAGTAATAAATACAGATGCTTCTCGCTTTACGATGGTTCAGCTTAAAATATTTTGACTTTATGATGGTGCGATAGTGATCCACATTCAGAAGTTATCAAACTTTGAATTTTGATCTTGTGTTCATTTATTTACTTTTCAGTACTGGCATTTAGTTAGTCGCAGTAATTATTTGTTCATTATTCAATGACAGTAGTTATTTATTTACTTATATATTTATTGTATCATTCATATTCATCTTAAGATATTTTCAGCTTACGATGGGTTCATTGGAACGTAACCTCATAGCTTTCTTTCTTCTTTGATACGTATATACCTTTAATAATCCTGTGTTTAATGTAGCCTTTGTAAAAATGTGAAATAATAGTCTTATAAACACCTGTGTGTTTGACCTGGATGGCTTTATCCTCTCTATCTTGGTGTTTATATAGTATTTTATTTATTTATTTTTTTTAAGAAAAAATAATTCATTTGGTCAAGTTTGCAACTTCAAGTAGCAATGTACATAACCTGGTAAAGCACAGGTCAGGTAAATTACAGGAGCTTTTGCTTCATCCAAAAGAATCGTGGTTTGATTCTCTGGCAAGTCTCCTTAAACCTGCTCCCCCTGTTCAACTATTAGTATATAGGTACCGATGGTGTTTATAAGACTATTTCACATTTTTATGATGGCTACATTTCATTAAGTAATAATCATAAAGCTACCTGGAGTCTACCTGGAAGGTCTTCTGGCGATCAATGCCCCCACGACCAGGCCTCCCAGTGGATCAGGGCCTGATCAACCAGGCTGTTAATGCTGGCTGCACATAGTCCAACATATGAACCACAGCCTGGCTGATACGGCACTGGCTAGGTTCCGTCCAGCTCCCTCTTGAAGGCAGCCAGGAGTCTATTGATAATTCCTCTTATGCCAGGTGGGAGGCTATTGAACGGTCTTGGGCCCTGGACACTTATTGTGTTTTCTCTTAGTGTACGAATGGCACCCTCTACTTTTCATTGGGGATATTTTGCACCGCCTGCCCAGTCTTTTGCTTTTGAAGGGAGAGATTTCTGTGTGCAGATTAGGGACCATTCCTAGGATTTTCCAAGTGTAGATTATGACATCTCTCTCGCCTGCATTCCACTGAGTACAAGTCAAGTGCTTCCAAGCTTTCTCAGGAGTTAAGGTGTTTGACAGAACTTATATTTGCAGTAAATGTTCTCTGTACATTCTCAAGGTCTGCAATTTCATCTGCTTTGAGTGGAACAGTATTCCAGCCTTGAGAGAACATGTCATTTAATAAGGATCTTCATTGGTTGGGCATCTCTTGTTTTGAACATTCTTATTATCCATCCTATCATTTTCTTAACAATTGTGATTATGGCACTGTTGTAATCCTTGAAAGTGAGATCCTCAGACATTACTACTCCCAAAACTCTTATTTTTTCAGTAATGGTTTAAATATATACTGTACATAAGTTTTTGCATTAGTTAATTACAATGATCCATATTGTCAGTCACTTGAAGTTGGTTCTGCCACAACCCACTGTAAATTATTTTACTTAGCAAATTCAGTAGACAATACAGTGGACCCTCGCCTAATGATATTAATCTGTTCCTGAGAGCTCAACGTTAGGCGAAATTATTGTTAGCCGAATTAATTTTCCCCATAAGAAATATTGGAAATCAAATTAATCCGTTCCTGACACCCCAAAGTATGAAAAAAAAAAAAATTTACCACATGAAATACACACAAACTGAAGAAGACATGCACAGTTACATGACACTTACCTTTATTGAAGATCTGGTGATGATTGATGGGATGGGAGGAGGGGAGAGTGTGGATGGTGTTAATGTTTAGAAGGGGAATCCCGTTCCATTAGGACTTGAGGTGGCAATTCCTTTTCCTGGGTTACTTCCCTTCTTCTTTTAATGCCACTAGGACCAGCTTGAGAGTCACTGGACCTCTGTCGCACAACATATCTGTCCATAGAGGCCTGTACCTCCTGTTCCTTTATGACATTCCTAAAGTGTTTCACAACATTGTCAGTGTAATAGTCACCAGCACGGCTTGCAATAGCTGTGTGAGGATGATTTTCATCAAAAAAAGGTTTGCACTTTAAGCCACATTGCACACATTTCCTTAATCTTTGAAGTAGACAACTTCTTCAATTTCTCTGTCCCCTCCTCCGGAGCAGTTTCCTCAGGTGTGGCCTCTTGCTGTTGAAGATGATCTAGCAGCTCATCAGTGGTTAGTTCATCATT